GAAAATAGCAAAAATTAATTCCAAGCGAAAATGAAGTATTTTACAGTAAGTAAATATGATGATAAAAATTATACTAGGTATAAATTTTTTTTTCAACTGATTGGGTGGTATCAGATTATATACCAAGCAAATTACCCCTCCCCTCCTCCTCCCCCTCCCCAAAATGTTTTGAATAAGAATTACTTGGGCATCGGAAAACAATTCATAATACAAAACTTTATACATCAAAATACCAGCATCTTTATCAAAACCTTTTTCTTGAAATAAACATTTGTTGTTTTGTTTACATGTATGGTTTTATTGATGACATATAATAATTAATAGCCTCTTAACCACTTGGTTGTTCGTCCTTGTTTGAATGTAGTCTGAAAACAGAGACCTGGTAGTTTCTCCTTGTGCACTTTTGAACTTGTATCTCATACATGCCTAGACCAGTTATGTTTAAATTTTACACATGTATCGTTGTGCCATACAGACATGCATGCATGCATGTACGCATGCATTGTTTCATGATAGCTGTATGGTGACCATAATAATGTTGAAAAAAATGCATCAAAATCAGGCATTACTGCCATTCTGGAACCAGATTGTAGTAATTGGATGTACGAACAGCATTTCACTTTCGACTTGGTACATACATTGAACATAGTGTAACCTTGATGCTTGTCATTTTTTTTTACATCTGATTATAAAAATGGTTGAATTGATGGACACCTTGTTTTAATGAATGTTATTTCAGAGCCATATTTTTGACATGCATGTACCTTGACTGATTGAGTTTCTGATTCCAAATGACTGACTACCGATAGTTTAAGTTTTGTTTACAATAGTACTGATATTGACAACAGCAACATTTTCTTGTTATTGTTTATTTCTAGGCATTGATTTCACTGCCAGTAATGATTGGCAAGGAGAGAACACATTTAATGGACACTGTTTACATTCTATGTCAACAGGGCAACTGAATCCATATCAACAGGTGAGGGAACATACTAAATGGGTGATTTTCCGTTTATTTGCGAGATCTCACGAGTTGAGTGAAAACGCGTGTTGAACGTATGCCACAAAAATCAAAGTATTTGATTTTGAACTTGAATTTCTTTATTTTGTAGCTCACATCGAAAGGCCGATCTTTGACAGGGGAATATTGCGTTTGAATACCCTTACTTCATTATTAAGCATGGAAATATCCCCCAAAATATGTTCACGTTTGTCGAATCCCAAACGATGTTTGTCGCCTCTACAATGTTATGACATTTGTTTGTTCTGTTTTTACGTTTGATTTATGCAAAACGTGGGATCTCACAGTGAACGGAAAATGGTCTATTAGGGCTGCACTATTTGAAATGGGGAGGTAGGCTTGGAATATGATGTGTCAGCCATATTAAGATTGATGTTTGAAAATATTTTATAAATTTCCATAAAACCATTTATGCCTTCATGAAATTCAGTATACCTTTTGCCCCAGTCTGATTAAAATAATATTTTGTTTGTTACATTTTTTTGTATTTACATATATATTTTTTAAAATGAACGTCTGACTTTGTTTGGGAGACAAAAACAAAATTCTAGCAATTAATGATTAAAACAAATATATATAAACAGTTTATTATAAAAAAAATAAAATGTTTTATTCAGATTGCTTTTTCCTCATAATATTGTTCATATAATCATGTTAAAACATTAAAAATTTCATATTCTGGGTACTGAGAATTGATAAGCTTAGACCAACATGCTGAACTTAAATGGAACTATCTAGCAAATACTACGGTAATATTGTCTTATTAAAATTCGGAGGTTATTTGTTTTGACGCAGTAAGTGAAATAATAATGAGTCATCAGTGTGTGGGGACACTGAGTTATTTTTAGAAGTCGGTGTTAGTTGTGATGGTGTGAATATAAGTCAGTGACAGTTCAATAACCTTTACCGTGTATATCATGATGAATATGTTTAATACATGCTCTCAAATAAAAACAGCTCATTAATTATTTCATTTTGAAAACAACAAGACAAATGGTATGGTACTACCGGTAGTACTGCATGTAATTACCAACAAATCATTTTGGTTTTGATATCATTTACTGTAAAATATTTCTTCGCTTGTATTAATTCTTGCTATTTTTGCTGAAGGAATAATTCAGTGAAAAAATCCAGCGAATATACCTTTTTTCCTATATTTTACATTTGACTCGTCAAAAATCAGTGAAAATAAATTCCATACAAAACACCCAAAAAGTCTTTTAATTGAAAATTAATTCCAGGTAAAATAAAGTATTTTATAGTAAGGTGCTTGGTCATCGTATCGCGTCTTGATGGATATGGGACTCATAGCAACATGTACAACGTACTGTATGTAAAAAACAATAAATGTTTACATGAAATTCAATCATGCACTGCGCGATGACGACCACCATTTAATAATCAAAGCAGTGTTAATAATAATTCTTTTTTTTTTGCTACCCAGGTAATTTCAATTTTAGGAGAAACATTGGCACCATTTGATGATGATGGATTAATTCCTGTGTTTGGTTTCGGAGACAAATCCACTCGAGACAAACGGGTATTTCCATTCAAACAAGATGGTCTGTGTTTTGGTGTTCATGAAGTTCTTGAATGTTACAAGCAGATTAGTCAAAGTGTGAGTCTAAGCGGACCAACAAACTTCGCGCCTTTAATCCAACAAGCAGTAGAGATTGTTAAACAGACAAAATCAGTAAGTACACTTTTATGTAAGGTCCAATTAGTCGTCTTTTGTTTAAACAATATGAAACCAGACAACTATTTCTAGTATTATTGTTCTTTTGTTCCTTGATTTGTCTAAATCTAATTTTTTTTTTAATTTCTATACTTCATTCATTGTAATTTTTGAAAGTGTTCCACTATACTAAGACCATTATTCCTTATCCTGCCAGTCCCATGTATACTTTTAATTGTCTCAACCAGATTAGAGCTGAGTCTAAAGTGTTATCTGTCATCATAAAATATACCCCACAAATATAGCACCTCCTCATTAGAAGCCAAATGCATTTGTGCAAACTTTTCAGTATTTTTGAGAAAACCTTCTGGACAATTCAAAAGTGTAAAAAAAAACTTCAATATTAGAAATATAAAGTTTAATTTATGATTCTTTTTCAGTACCACATATTGGTAATTATTGCTGATGGTCAGGTAACCAGCGAACGGGCAACTAGAGCCGCCATTGTAGAAGCTTCCAATTACGCACTGTCAATTGTCATGGTAGGAGTTGGTGATGGTCCCTGGGACATGATGAAAGACTTTGATGAAATGTTGCCACGGAGACAATTTGATAATTTCCAGTTTGTTGACTTTCATAAAATTATGCAAAATTCAACCAGTCCTACGACAGCTTTTTCCTTGCATGCACTAATGGAAATACCTGACCAGTTTCTGGCAGTTAGAAATCTTGGTTTTCTTGATCAGGACGAGTGAATATTGATTTTAACTCCATCACTCTCCTGATACAGAAAAGAAAATGCATTTACAGTACCGATACTCCACTCAATAAATCAAACAAATACAAAGTCTAAGGATGGATTATAAGATTAGGATTTCCATCAATATTTTGTGATGTATGATAAAGTTCCCTTTCTATGTGAGTTTCATGTATGTATCAATCAAATACATTACTGAGCAGTGGTCGAATCACCATTTGCAATAGATGATGGGAAAGACTCCATAAACAGAAAGAAGCAAGGTTATCGCTCTATTCAAAACGGCCGAGATTTGAAAAACTGCTCAAATTTTATGGGTCAGTGAAAATCGCGACAATTTGTGGCAGTGATAATTACTCTGAGGTTCAATGACTCAGTGTCAGTGACACCTCACAAAAATTGGATTTCATGAAAGCCATAAAATTTTCAAATCATACAAATTTCAAGGCGAGAAAATTACATGACTTGTAGATGAAAGCACATTAAAAAAAAGTGAGACAAACACTGACTACTAGTATTTCCCTCACGAGCTCATTTATTTGCATAACTTTTTTGTGAAGACCATCTCTCAATTTATCAAGCATGTGACAAAAATTATTGGTGAGTAGAAGGAAAAGAAGATACTGGTATCCATGGCAACAATCATGTGTTTAACCTACCAGCATTTGTCTCCATCCTTGTTTCTATTCTGCTAAGTGATGTATATATCTACACTCATCAGGATCATAAAATAAAAATAATTTAAATATTTTTTTTTCTTGATTAAAAATTGATAAAATGAACTAAATTGAAATGAAAGCTGACAAAGCATTACTGGCATTCTAAGCTTTATTATATACTTCTCATTTAATTTCAGCTAATCTCATTTTGTATAATGTTAATCTTTTCACCAACGCTTTTCATTTTTCACAAAATAGTCTGCAGTTTCCTTCAGAAGATTAGGACAAACCATTATTTTGAGTAAACACTGAAAATGTTGTCTTTTGGCTCCAAAATTAGAGTTCATTTCCTAAAATATTGAAGAAGTATAAGAAAAAAGAGCAGAAAGTCTGGTGGTATTGGGATATCGAAAACTAAAATAAAGAGATTTACATTAAAATGCAGTTGTAAATTGTCTGCAGTCTGCTAATAGAACAACATGTGAGTACAGGTTAGTGCACTAATTTCAGATTACCGAGGGATGTAGTTTATTTAACATTAAGAAACTTGAAATGTGATTTTAACATCACTGATACATGTGCATATGAATTTAGCGTCATGTCTCCAGAAATCCGCCTTGTCAATAGAGGGCAGTACAAATAGAACATCCTAATAGTAAGTTTGAACTTGAAGCTACATTCATAAATATTTATAATTTATTTTTGCTTGGAATTAATTTTTGCTATTTTCGCTGAGGGGATGATTCAGTGAAAATAAAATACACCTAATATACCTTTATTCCTATATTTCACATTCAACTTGTCAAAAATCAGTGAAAATAAATTCCGAACAAAACTACCAAAAAATGTTTTCAGCGAAAATTAATTCCAGCTAAAATAAAGTATTTTACAGTATAATATACAACATCCCTACTTAATCTGAAATGAGTGTATACATCTAACTTAACATAATACAATTAAATAAATGATATTTAAAACTAATTGGTATAAAACAATGTATTTGACAATTTATTTTAGTGAGTTTATCAGTCATTATTTTTTATTTTCAGTTATTGTTTTTATTTGATAATGTATTATTATGTTTTTTTCCACTTTTATATTCAACTGAATATAAGTTCAGTATACAGACCTGAAATGTTCTTTGTAACAATTTTATATTCACTGTCCACTAATATTTATTATCTTATTTCCTATATATGCTAAAATAAAAACACCTTAATGAAGGGAAATAATTGCCTTCATATATGTAAATAATGGTTTAATTTTTAACAAAGACTTTAAAACTTTTATATAAACCAAAAATTATTCAAGTATTTTATTTGAAATATTCAAGAGTGAACAATATATTATTTCTATGTTTTGGTTGAAATTTGTTTTTAAACACAAGGGTTATTTTATTTACAATGATAGATGAAGTTGATAACTCAGTAACTGCCTACGATATCATTCAATAAACTCAAACGGTTTGAATAAATATAATTATGTATTGAATACAATTTGCATTTTTACACAAAATAAAAACAAAAAAAATTGTCATGCAAAATTGAATAAAAACGACAGTCCAAACTGAACAGTGAAAAATCGTTCCTTAATGAGAATACTATTTAAACACTCGTTAGTAATATATAGTAATATAATGTGTGTGTCCACCTATGTGGTGAAAATAAGGTATTATACAGTACTAAGTAAAGTCAGTACCTTATCATTTGAATCCTGAATAAATACACAGCTGCTCATGTATCTGTCAACATATAATAAATGTGGTATTCTTTATTTATTGCAATTCAATGAAAATAAGATTGTGTTTTATTTTTACTTTTCATTTTCATTTATTTTTTCCTTCTCATTTTTTACTCCTTTGTGCAAAGCACAGCACACAATGGGCGTCTTTGCAGTTTGTTAGACTGGTTTTCTCAATGACAAATATTTTGTACTACCGGTATTAAAGTAAAAAATCGTAAAAGTCAATGACTTGTGTCCAAATCATTAATTACGTAACGCTTTTAAAACAAATAAATATGATAATTGTTTTGACTTTTAGATTGAATGCTGCAAACGACCATAATTAAGTGATTAATTGTAATGAGTTCAGCATATACATATATTGTTTTATGATTTATGAATGGTTCTGTTATTTCTTCAAAACATGATTGATATACACTTCAATGGCCTTAGATGCGGATGATATCAATAATGACAACACCCCCACTAACCCCCAGATAACAACAAATATCCTGTTTTACCAAATATGTCTTGAATACATGTATATAATGTCCGAAATAAATAACACAGTTCCAACTTATTCACAAACAATATCAAGTTATTGCCTACCAAGATTGTCATCACTGATCATGGGATTGTGTGTTGACCAATAATATTAACTATACTATATCAATAGAATATGTTTACATTATAATGTTACATTGTATATTTACATAAGGTGATGGTACCTTCAGTCATATCCCATTTCACATGTGTGGGCGAGCTAAACACAAGTATATAAATAGTAGAATACCTGATAGGTTTGTTCCAAGTGTATTATATATAATTTATTCTTCACTTTTAATCATATTTACTTATCACATGGTTTTATTCTGAAGTTCAATGCTAATGTTAGATCCAACAGCAAACTAGTCACTCTCCCTTGCAGAGTCTTCTCGACCTAGGGAGCCACAGAGAGCCGCAACTCGTGGGACATTCCCTAGCGACTACCTAGCTTAGTGATAAAAGACCCATAGTCTCGGCGACGGAGAATGCAAACTAGTCTGACATTATGAACATGTACTGTAAAATGAAATTATTATAGCATGTTATTATTGCTAATTAGCTTATTCGTAATAATAATAGCTAATTTAATTTGATAAAATTGCGTGTATCTGTTTCAATGTGTTTTACATTATTACATGTACTAGTATAATTAATCTGAGGCATAGTATGTTTATTGTACTACCGCTACATTATCTAGGAGGTCGAACATTACTTTATATCTTTATTGTTATTTACATTTAAACAAACCTATATAGGGGATATTAAAAGTGTGCAATATCTACTACGGTAGCACTGATACTTGTGACATATTGCCCTTATTAGAGTATGCCCTAGCTTTAGTACCGGTAATTACTAGTATTCTTGATAACCAGCAAGACAATCCTTCAGTAAAATGTGGCTGAAATATTCGACAGTATCTGGTAGAAGTATTTTAAATGTGAATTTGCTGTGAAGATTCGGAATTAAAATCATCTATGATGTCATGCAGTCATGTAGAAATTCGACCACACACCTAAGTATGAAGCAGACTCTATAAATCACAGGCCTTAGAAATACAAGGTATAACACTACGATAAAGACTTTCTATTTTCGACATTGTGAATTTCTTTCGTTTTTTTGGGAGAAAAAATCCTGGAAAAAAATGATTTTGACAAGATAATTTAGAAATTTGTATTAAGAATAATTCATAACGAAATATATTTCCTATATAATTTTCAGAATTACCGATTATTCAAGAATATTACAGAAGGATAATTTGCTATATTCTTTATATTTTTCCTTTTTTTCTTGAATTATGACTGAAAGAAGGTGAATTAAATTACAAACTATGTAGTGTGTTCAACAACTCATTTATGAACAATAACTTTAATAAATATGACTTTACTCTGTAAAAATACTGTATTTTTTCTGCATAAAAACGAAAAAAATGTCGAAAACGGAAAGACTTTATCGTAATGTTGCCTGTGTCTAAATATATCATTAAAATATAATCACTAAATTGGTGGAAATTATATCATCAATACATAAAATGAAACGATTTGACGTACTTGTACCCTTTCAATTTCTCTAAAACTCATTCATGTCAACCACAAAATAAATCGTAATACATAAAACAATGAAGGTGATTTTCGGTTCAACTGCGAGATCTCGCGAGTTGCCTGAAAGACGCACGTCGAACGTTTGTCGCAAAATATGAACGATTTGATTTTGAACTCGAATTTCTTTATTTCGTAGCTCACATCGAAAGGCCGGTCTTTAATAGGGGAATATTGCGTTTTATTACCCTTACTTCATCGAAATTTACCATCATCAAATGTGTACGGCACATTATTGAGGGTCGAAATATCCCCAACAAATACTTTCGCGTTTGTCGTCGCTATCACACTATGACCTTTGTTTGCCCTGTTTTTACGTTCGATTTCACGCATAACGCGGGATCTCGCAATGTATGGGGGCTTTGAGTTATTTCCGATAGACATGCTCTTATGGTATAGTTTCCATTTGCAAAAATTGATAACAATTTCAATTTATACCCAAATCAAAACTTAATATTATGTGTAATAATAATAATCTTTATCGCATAATCGTATCCTTATTTGGATAATGACTCAAAAAAAGAAATTTAGATTTTAGAAT